AGAGAAGAGAAGAGAAGAGAAGAGAAGAGAAGAGAAGTTTTTACTTCTTGCTTCATTACGAGCCCTTCTTTTTCTGGCTGTTGCAGCTTGAGGGTCCCCCTCACGGGACTGGCACTTCGTGTGCTTTGCCCCTGTGCTTGGAAGCCTCCTCCCGTTGTGTGATATCCTCTTGGGAAAAGCCCTTGTGGCTGCTCCTTGTGGTATTTTGGTGTCGTCTTCAAGAAGCCGTGAATGAGAGGGAAGAAATAAGACAAGCAGGACCCCAACCTAGCAATCGKCATACGATGGTGCTCCAGCTGTAACATCCCTTCAGATACATCACGTTTATCTCAAGTGGCCTTTCAGCTCAAGCCAAAGGCAATTGCTTGTCGAGGTGATTAGTAATCTGGGCCCAGGGCTGTGGCAGTGCCAAGGGAAATGGTTGTGGCAGAGGAGCAGCTCCATATAGGGCCCGGGTGCTGGGTGATACGGAGCATGTGTTGAGGCTGTATGATGGGCTGTGCGAGGAGAGGTGAGCTTGTGTCTCAAGAGGCAGGAAAATTCCAGTTCTGGACAAGAATTCCACTTGGAAATATGCTCGTAAAGCTGTCAAAATAACCTGATCCCTGAGGCTTTTGCTTGCTGGCAACTTGTGCCACGACAGAGGCCGACCTGCGTCGCGCGCCGAGGAGGAGACCCAGCTGCATCGCACCCGCCGGGCYATGGGTGCAATACTCAGGTGAAACCTCGGCCTCAGCTTTTTGGTTTGCCATCTGCTCTGTGATTAGCACAGCTTATTTAGGGTGCTGTTTTTGTTAGCAAAGCAACTCTCGCACGTTTCCTCCGGAGTCATTTGTGTGCCTTGTGTGACTGTCGCCACGTATGAGGTCTCGTTTCCCTGTCCAAGCTTCCCACTGGATACTCATCTTGGGCAACTTCCAGAGTCCATGAAAGCGGACGATGAGCGGGTGAGGATGAGCAGGGCGGTGGTAGCCCAACAGCAGCCCCAGCGGGGACTTGCCTGCTTCGTTTCTGCCATGCATTGGGGTGGCTTTCCTTGGAAATGCTCTCCGTTTCATTAGGAAGCGAAGGAAAAGCAGGAACCTTAAAATCTGTGGTTTGAACGGGATTTCATAGGGAGAAAAACAGCTCCGTGTAATTATGTTATGCCTAGGTGTGCAACAGATTGCTGATATTTAAAGGAGCTTCTGCTTTGAGACCTACAGGTCTTCATTTTGCAGGATGAAGATGGTCAGAGCTCACTGTTTCTCGTGACAAAATAGCAATATACAGCTTTTTGCCCAGTGAAACCATTTTAGTGTTTCCACGTTTTATTGTATAGACCCTGAGTTCATTTGACAAACAGGATGGGGTGTTTCGGGACCTGAGGAGCGCGGTGCAGGGCTGGAGGTCTCTGTGCCAAAGGGCAGCTCTGTGCTAAGAGGTAAAACATATTCTGCTGGTTTCCACAGAATATAGGAATGGATCTCGGGGGCAAAAGTGGTGAATATTTCTGATTCTGCCTGACTAGAGGAGTGAGGCCAGTTTAGCAGAAAATACAAATCCGTTTCTTGTTTGTTTGCCCTTCTGGTGTTAACCTTGTGGGAGGATTAATATCAGAAAGATGATAATTACAGGAGGCAAAATGACCRCAAATAAGTTTTCTAAGGAAAGTAACTGCAGTAGTGGTAGAGCCCAAATGATTCAAGCTTATCTGAAAATCTCTTTGATACCTGCGTTACAAATTGGAGATTCTTCTGCAAAACAAAAAAATTCCCTGTAGTTCTGGGGTGTCCGATGTTGTGTTAACAGGAGTTTTTTTGAAAAGCGAAAAAATGTGATTTTTTTTTTTTATTTTTTATTTTTGAAAAGCCTTTGGGAGAAGTGGTTATTAGTACAGAGGGACATTTAGAGATGTTTTTCCTTAAGTTGGTTGTAGGTCAGGAGGCAGGATAGCCCCTGGTGAGATGAACTCGGGACTGAAGCACCTCGGGAATGTCCTTTCCAGCAGCAGAAAAGGAGTTTTCAGGCCACATCTCAGGCCTTTCTCCACCTGAGAGCTGTTTCCCCCAGGTTGTAGATACACCTTGACTTGGGTTGTGCGCTTGAAGTGATAAAGGGGGGTGAGGGTGTGACAAAAGACAGGCACCATTCCAAAAAGAAGAAAGCAAAGCATTTTTTTTAATGGAAATATAGTGTATGCTTTGGAAATAATGTGCTAATGAGGAGCTCTTCTGCATATTTACATTATGTTTTGAACTGTTAGCAAGAAGAACTGTGACAGCATAGATTTTAAAACCATTAAAGCATTTAGAATGCCTTGTTTTGTCTGCAAGCACGAACACATCCTACCCGAGTCAAAGAAGGATCSAGCCCAAAGCACGAGAACTGTTTCCTGGGCTGTAGCTCCCAAGCAGAGATATTCTCCTTTGGTCAGACTCAAAGTGCGGATGTAATTCAAGTTATTTTATCCTTCCTTCTTGCTTTTACTGGTTGGCGTGCACGTAATTAGCAAGTAGGTTTTAACGTGCCACTTAAGCTTGACATAAATGTTTACATTTATGTTGTGCCAGTTTTCTCTAAGGAGTCTCAGCATAGAACTGATACTCCCTTTGTATTCATCTCAACCATCTTCACACCGTAGGGTGAAAGCTGGTAATTTACCCTTGGTAAAAGCAAGTTGCTCTCGAGCTCCACACCGTGTACCTGGATTTGCCTGGAGGACATGGCCAGGGAAGGGCCTGGTGGCTCAGGAGCTGCTCTCCAGGAGGACCCGCAGTCACCCAGGTGTTCTGCATGACGAGCTGTAACCCCAAACGCTGCTCCAAGTGTGGGACAGCACCAGGTGATTGTTGTTCATATCAATGTCACAGAGGAACAATGTTCATATCAACGTAGCAGAAACTTCCCGCTCATCACACATTGTCACAACCTTGGACCTTAATCTTGCTCCTTGATTGGCAGTGGCGGCCGAGGAGAGAGCCCTTGTGGTGTTTGTGATAGTCCCATCTGCTCAACTTGCTTCTGTTARGAGTATTTGCATATTCTTAAGTCGCTCTTCTGAGAGGGCCTAAATCCTTCTTGAGTGTTTGATGCATTTTTTTGAAATTCATTCATAAGGTATCTACATGCACTAATAGTTCTGTATAATATTGCTGCGCGTAATCTGACAGATAAGGGTAGTTTTTTAAACAAGGTATTCTTTGGGGATGACATATTACATTCTGACTTATTCTGCTGGGCGGAAATGTCAAGTACTTGGAAAAAGGATGCTTGAATGTTTTGATAGAATTAGTATTCCTCATTCAACACAAATTGTCAGCCGCAATAAAATGTGGACTTATTGTGAGAGCATCTTTGAAAGGAGCTAACATCAGGGCTTTCTCGAGTTATTTTCCTTACTAGAGCCTTATTACGTGTAATCGTTCCTTTGCTGCTTATGCTGATATCAAACACAGCGAGTAGATTCTTAGATGCATTTTAGATTCATTTATGTCTGAATTACTGAACTGTGAGCAACACCTTTATCTTGCAATACAATGTAGGCCTCTATCTTCCTCTTACCTTTTTTATTTTTGCTTTGTGCAGTTTTTATTGATRTTTTTGGAAGGACTGACAGCCTTTATCTTGGAAACCAGTGACTCCTCGTAGTCCATGTGGAACATTAGTGGGAATTAATCCTGCTTTGAGAAGTATTCTGGCATTAATGTTGAGTCCTGAATACTGATAGAGGCTCAAAAATCTTAGTATTTTGTTAGTATTTTGTATAGAACCTTACGTATTACTAAACCCTGTTATCTAGTGTGGGTTGGATAAAAACCATCCTTAGTGGTGGGGCTGCTTTCAGAGCTGCCCTCTTGTCCCTGGAGAGGATCCTAGCAATCCATTCCAGCTGCGCACTTGGAAGGTTTAACAGATTTCTTATTTTTCTGCTTGGTGATTTTTTGTTTTATGTACATGCGGGTTTTATTGCAACAACCCTTTGCAACTTTAAAATATATCTTTTTTTTTTGTCTGTCCGCTTTCAGGAATCTCCCTCCGGCCGCCGCAAAGCGCTTGCCACCAGCAACATCAACATGAAGCAATACGCGAGCCCCATGCCGACCCAGACGGATGTCAAGTTAAAATTCAAACCTTTGTCCAAGAAAGTGGTGTCCGCCACGCTGCAGTTCTCTCTATCTTGTATTTTCCTGAGGGAAGGAAAAGCCACGTAAGTGGGGTTTGGTTTTATTTTGTTTTTGACTAAGCAGCCAGCCTGCTTTGTGTTGCTTTTCAAAGAATTCCTTGGGTAAAGAGCCTTTTTGGTGTAGAATGGCAGAATCCAGGAGTCTCCTTCAGCATACCTATCATTCCTGCCATACTTAGTTTCTCAGTCTAAGTCTAATTAGAGTCTTGTGTTTTCCAGAGACAGGTAGTTGTCCTCCATCACTGTGGATAAATAGGAGCAGCTCAGAAGTATCCACAGGTTGGAAAGCAGCTGGAGTGTACTCTGGAATGTATGTGTGGTTCATCCCAAAGTACCCTCGAGAGGTGGAGGGCAAGCAAACCTTTTCCTATTGCCCAAAGAGCCCAAGGCAGCTGCAGAACAAGGGAGGGTGGGATCAGAGGTGAGGTTGGGATCAGAGGTGAGGTTGCTGGTTGATAGGGTTGCAGGTTGATCGCAAGACACCCTGTGCAAAGGGGTTCACTTGCACTCCGATTGCTGCTTCCCCCTTTCACTCATCCCATTCCGTCCCTGCCTTCAATCATCTTTTCAGGACAGAGGCACTGATGATTTTTCCACATCCTATCACCTCTCACCATTTCTGTCAGGTTCAGGGTCTCAGATGTTGGCCCATTCTTTCCTGTTCCTATTGTCTGTCTCTACATGTTGAGCAGTGGATGTAAGGATGGAAGAAGAGGGACATGAGGAAACTGTTGCCGTTTGCCTTTCTTTTCCCCTACAAATGCTGACAGTCTAGTTTTAAATATTGCATTTGTAGGTATGGCTTAACGTGGTGTAGCAGTTGGAAACAAGAAGAGAAAGTCAGCATCCAATAGCCTGTTAACTTTTGGGAAGCCACCAACGTCCAGTAACAGCTGCACTGTTAAGAGATGCTTGCTGAGACTATAACTGGTAGAAGTTGGTCCATTTAGCACAAACCTTCTTTTGAAGGAAATAATTGCATTCAAGGATACACTCCCACCCAAGAGTAGGGCTCTAATACTGCCCCGAACTAGGAACTGAAAAGAAAAAAGTGTTTGTGAAAGCACTGTTTTGTTGTATACCTAAYCTTGGGGAGGTAGAGAGTGTGCTATTAGCCGAAACAAAAGTGACAATTCAGGTGTCCGATGCGTGCACAGCCACAATGTGAGAAAACGGGAGCTAGATGAAGGCTGATGGGCGTCTGTTCCAAGGAATCCTTGTCCCACGGGAAGGACTTTATTAAATAGRCGTTCTCCCGAGCACTATGAGCTGTCCTGGCTACGCGCTTAGAACACGTTGGGTTCGACTCGCCCGATGCTGCTGCCTTCTCCTGTGGTTAAAGGGCTGATTTAATCTATTGATTWTCAAAACAGGATGATGAGTCCTGGAGGGGACAGCATGAAAGGAAAGGTCTTTGCCACTTCCCGATAGTTACTTGTTCTGTAATTATTATTATTAGTTCTTATTTGTATTATAAAACAATTGCTCTTCCCAAAAGGCCTGGAGATCTGTGGTGTTGRTTATTGTGAACTCTAAGTGCAAGGTGAATTTCCCCTAAGAATTCCTGGTTTTATTTTAAAGTATTTTGAAGTTTAATATTAATATTGAAGTATTTTAAGATACTGAGTTTATTTCCCATGTTTTAAGTGCTTCTGAACTTCAGTGCAAACTTGTGTGTGGTTTTTAGAGCACCTCTATTCCTGCAAATGATATATTTAAAATAATGATTTTCTAGCTCTCTTGACATTATTAGACACAGTATTTTATTGTGAACAGCTTCAAAGTAGATGGAATATTTTGTGTSGTGGTGTGTTTAGTTTCTAGCTATAGGAAATAAGCTATTCCTGTGCATCTATAAAATCACAGAACTGTAGCCAAGGTCGGGTTGGAAGGGAGCTCCCAAGGCCTCCAGTCCAGCCTCCCGTTCAAAATGGGGTTAATGGAAAGCACTCCATTTAATTGTTAATATACACAAATATTTTTATTTTCTTCTTTCACCACTTTCAGGATGAGATCTGAGATGAGGGAAGAAAAGATGAAAATATTGCATTCTTAAAAATCTTTTACGTAGCATCAGACRTGGTCTTAATGGATGGATTTTTAATGCCTGGTTTGAAATTTGTTCATTAGGGATGAAGATATGCAAAGCCTGGCTAGCTTGATGAGCATGAAACAAGCCGATATTGGAAATCTCGATGACTTTGAGGAAGACAATGAAGAAGATGAAGAAAACAGAGTGAATCAAGAGGAAAAAGCTGCAAAGATTACAGGTTGGTTTCTCCTGTGGGAGGTAATAGGTGTGTTGGATGAACAGAGAAGTAAAAAGACAGAGGATCTGTGGGCAAGAAAGCAACGGATGAGCTAAGTGAAAGATTAAAGCACATTTGGGAGAATAATTGAGAAATCAGGGGGTGTGGAGGTTCTGCACAATAAATGGCAATTTCAGGCAGTGTCCTCCTTTTGGATGGGGACCGACTCAGTGTCAAACAGGAGACGATTRCAGAACTTGAACTGCATTTGATAGGGTGTTGCAGGTGAGACAATGTGACTGACCCCAGTTGGATTGTTTGCTCGTGGAAAAAGCGTTAGTGTGTTCAGGGTAACCAAGGTGAGATCAAGGCCTGATGATGCTGAGCTGTTGGTAGAGATGGTTACGTCCTACTGTTCCAGACGACCTCTATAGGAATTCCCAGTGTATGAGAAGAAGCAGGAAAGACAAATAACCTTTTGGTGCCAGCCTTCATGCCAGTGATCTTCAAAAATGGCTTTCTAAATAAAGGTGAGCCTCTGAGGTGCTGTTTCTTCAACAGTGATGTTGCTTCATTGGCCTGGCCATCTCTTCTCCAGGTAGACACCGAGTGGCACGGGAGGGATGGTGAGTGAGAGGGAGCGTGTGCAGCTTCCCAAGCAAATGAGGGAGCATAGAACAAGGGCAGGAAGTAAACATGAATCAGTAAAACATAAAGGATCTGTTTCAACATCTGTTCAAGCAGCCGTAAAGAAGTTTCGTGATTTCATTGGCAGTTGGAGCGACTCCTATAATAAACATAAGGAATGGCGAAAACTAATAAAACGCAAGGAAAAAGCTGAAGAACCCAGGAGAGAGGAGGGAGACTGTCTATGTTAGAAAGCGGTAGAAAAGAAATCTAGGAATATAGATGGAGAAAGGGAACAAAACCGATGTGAGTTTTTAAAAAATAATTCTTTAAAACATAATCGTGCTGCCAGGATCCCATAAAGTTAATTGCGGAAGTTACATAAGGGCTTTTGCAGGGCGCTGCTCCCAAGGTTTTCTCCTGCGCGGGGCGGCTGGAATGCTCGGCTGACTCAGAGGGCCCGGGGCAAGGCGCTTCCCTCCCGCCTGCCTTCCCAGCCCCACAATGTGCAGCCTGCAACTCCCTCCCGGGATTTCTCAGCCTGAGCTTTGCCACCGAGCTTTGGAAGAGTGGGAGAGCYGTGAGGACTGTTGTCCGTCTCTGGAATCCGGGTCTTGTTCCAGAAACTGCCTCTGGTGGGTGACCTGATGACTGAGATGCTGCGAACACTCACCCAGACACTCRGCAATGGGCAAAAATTGAGATTGTTTTGTCTTAATTGGGCCCAAAGCGTTGCACTTGGAGAGCTGGGYACGTGTATTCCGCAGCGGGAGCGTAGGAGGGACCTGCTGCCAAGGGCTCTAGGTGGTGCAGGTGAGTTAGCAAAGGCTGCTCTTGCCTCCCCGTTGCATAACTCGGGGCAGGGATCTGGGCTGCTCTTTCTTCAGCTCTCTGAAATCAGTGAAGCAACACTCACCTCCCGCAGAAGCACCGTGGAGGTGGGAGCGGTCAACACCGGTGCTGCAAGGGTGACCGTAGCATGAAACCGAGAGAGGTKTTCCATTCAAAGCACCATTTAATTAAAAAAAATCTTGCTGCCTCCACCTCTTTCCCCTTCCTCTCCAGTATTTGGGGTTTATACCTTTTCAAGGATAAAATTTCAAGTATAAAGGCTCGATATCCACCTAACTATTCTCTTCTCTGTGAACATAAAAATAATATGCTTGTAGTCATAATCTACCATCTTTTGGTTTCTAAGTCATTAAGAAATGTGGGTTTAAACTGCCCAGAATGGCTCCGTACTTAGTCTTGAGGTGAAGGGAAGACCTTCCAACATCCCTGCAGAAATTTGGCTCGCGATGCACAAATGCGATAATAACCCGTATGCCGTTCCCCTTCGTGTTCCTTGGAGTTGGCAGCGTGCCCTGCACAGGAGCACGTGCTGACCCACRGGGGCACTGCAGGGACCGAGCCCCGCGCCCGGGCGCTGCCCGTTGCAGGAGTCGGGATTCCAGGGCTGCTGGTGAGCATCTGCTTTAACCCCTAATTTAATCTGCCATTTAAACATCCACCCCTCATGCAGGCTTCTGCTGTGGAACAGAAGAAGCACCCTTGGTTTTGTGTTTTTTTTTYCAGTCAGTAGCACCAACCTGCTTAAAAAGGAGAGAAAGAAGGAAATAAAAAATAAAAGAGAGGGGGAGAGAGAGAGAGCAGTGATTTATGCGACATACTTGTAGAACAGGCTAATATACCTTTGTAGATAATGAGATATAAAAAAGATAATATAGGACATAAATCTCCAGCTACCATTTCCACACTCCAAAATATGACATAAACCATTTAGTATTGAAATGAGAAACATTGTAGTGCATACGGGTGTTTAGGTTGGCAGATGGGACCGGGTGATTCAGACCACATCAAAGAATCCCTCTTTTTAAAGCTCCGAATTTAATTTGTTATTTTCTGACAATAAAGATGGAATTGTAATTGTTTTTTTTTCCACACGCTGCAATAATAAATTGTAAATCTTGTCAGCATCTCRCCCCATTTTTAACCAGTAATTTGTTTTATAAGGTCAACTCTGTTTTATTTGAGTACAGCAAGGTATTTGCCTTAGTGTACTCTGAGTCTTAAAAACTCTCCAAAGACAGTATTATATTGTTCCAGTCCCTAAGGTTTTTATACGGGCATATATAAGGATTTTATACAGAGCAAGCGGAGGGTTTTTGGCAGGTGGTTGGTGTGACTTTTTAAGACCAGGCTCTTGTTTGTTGGAGCTAAAAGTAAGGAGGTGAGAGCAGTGACATTAACTTTTTGTAGATGGCTATAAGTTCAATCACAGCTGAGCAGGTTTTGCTTTTAGATAAGGAATGTTTAAGGGAAGGAGCAAAGAGGAATTATTCCGTGGCTGTCCCATCTTCAGAACAGACCAAGGTGGCACCGCTTGACTTGGAAAAGTGCAGATTGGCAAATTTACACAACAATTTAGATTTGAGGGAAAAGGTTTGAGCTGCGAGTGGTGTGAATTGCCCTGGCAGGACATGGAGGGGCATGGAGCAGGGAGGTGTTGCCCTGGACTGGGGCGCTGAGGCTCTGAGGCTGAGGCTCCCATCACTGCAGGAGCTGGATTTGTCAGCTCCTCCAAGGGGGATCAGGGAGGAATTTCTCCCCTTGGGGCAGAGGGGACTAAGTCCTAGCTCAGTTCTTCCTATTTCCTTTTTTCTTTTCATCTGGAGTTACGGAGTTACTGCCGCCTTAATTAGAATTAAGCATTAGGATTAATATATTTTAAGAATTACTAGTTCAAGGCAATTTGTACGTCGGGRCAGAAGGTGAAAGGGGATTGTGGCAAACAGAGGGGTTGCTGCCTTAAAACTGCAGGAGCAAGTTGAGCCAGCGTGTTTGCCTTCTGCAYGCTCCTAGTGTGTTAGTGATGGTGTCATCTGGATCTGTTATACAAACTCAGCTTGCCAAAGGTCAGATTTGAATGGAGACGGATCCTAAACGTTAAGCAATTGAAATGTGTGTGTATATATTTTTAAAACATCTATGTGTATGTATCGGTTTTCTGTAGCTCTAAGGGTTTGGGAGGAATGTAATTTGCTCCGGGGCTACTCTGTTTTGGTTAACAGTGATTTAAAAGTCAGGTTTTCCTCCTGAGTCAAAAAAAATGTTTTAATTAAATTATATCCAGCATGTGTAAGTTTTGAACTGGGGTATATGTATGCTTGCCTTCATAAGACTGATTGCTGATGCTGCCACTAGGAACTCAGTAAGGTTTTGTTGTATGTACATTATCTGGATTTACTGTCAAATTATCACAGAAGAATTCTACACAGATGCTTTAGTGTAATTATACAGAGCATGCTAAGCACTCTTTCTTAATGTAATCTTTTAATTAACAATAAGTGTCTTCTCTTTCCCTCTCTCTCTTTCTCTAGTAACAGCATTCTTCCCGCTTCTGTTTCATTAAATGCCCCTACTTTACGTTTGTCTTGACTGGCTTCTATTTACAGAAATTGTAAACCAGTTGAATGCTCTGAGCAGCTTAGATGAAGATCAAGACGACTGCGTAAAGCAAGCAAATATGCCTTCAGCTAAATCAGCCAGTTCCTCTGAAGGTCTATGAGCTTTCCTCCTTTCTTTCTGTGTCTGATTGTCTGTATTTACTGTGACCTGTTACCTTTTGACTCCTGCTTGTGTTCAGCTGTCAGCTTTATCTCTGTGCTTCCACCCAGCGTGACTCTCAGTAATTTGTGGCGCATCCAACAGGTAACAACATGATAGAGAAAGGCACTATCTGCTCTACAGCTGCATTGTCGTCTGATAATGGACAAGAAAGGGAAAAAATATATATATATGTGTATACACACACACACACACACACACACACACACACACACACGTGTGTGTATATATATGTAAACAATCCTGAAATATTAGTTGTACAGTTAATAGTACTTGACCTCTCTAACTCAACAGAATATCCCTTCTTGGATTTTACATGCACATTACATCGAAAAATTAAACTTCCTATTGATAGTTATCATGTATAAGAGCAATTGAGAATAAATTGTACTTAACTCATTTCAGATGGACTATAGTATTTATTTAAGATAGATCTGGAAAGCTTTCTTGGAAGTAATTTCTATTAAATAGCATCAGATCAGCAAATAGAATTTTCATGCATTCTACTTTTTTTTTTTCTTTTTTTTCTTTTTTTCCACCTGTTTGGAAACATTGGTGTGCTACTAAATGTATTAGATTAGTTGTAGAGCTGGTGTTGCACCCTGCTGCAGTGTTTTAAGGGGCTATTGGTATCCATTTTTTTTTAAGTTTGGGCTATGTTAGATGTATAGTTTKTATCTACACTGAAACAATATTCCAACTTGTTTCTAGAACTTATCAATAAACTTAGTTTTCTGGACGAAGAGGAGCAAGACCTGGCCAACTCGAGTACAAATCCTTTTGATGAACCTGACGCAGCAGAATTAAATCCATTTGGAGATCCTGATGTAGAAGGTAATGGATTTGCTTTTCCTAATTCATTATTAGTATCAAGTGCGTAATGAAGTATGATTTTTTTTCTGTAGAATTAGGAAACTTTGCTTTTTTTTTTTTTTTTTTGATTAACAAAAGTTGTTGCGTATAGTACTGAGGTAGCAATATCAGTGATCCCAGTTGCCACTGGAAAGCGAATTTAATTTTTGGGTCACATCTCAGTGTCTCTAGGGGCTCTTGCTCTAGGCAAGCTCTAGGGGCTGCTTGCTGCCAGAGACTTTTATAGCTCTCAGGTGCGCTCACATTGCATAGCTGATATATTGCACAAGTGGTATAAATGGGCCAAGAAAACCAYTGAGCTCCTCTGTTACATGTGAGCACTGATTTGGGCCAAAACTTCGCTCCTTCACTGCAAATTTTCACTGTTTCACAGCTATTCTTTATTTAGCCTAGCACTAATCTCCATTATGATTGTTTAATGGTATCTCTCTTCTTCTTCCTTTTTTACTTTTAAGGTTTCCTCGCTTGAGCCTTCTGGCATCAAGCTTTCGTAGATCCTAATCCGCTTTTCAGGTGGCTCTGCCTGTGCTTGTTCTCACTGAGGAGAAATACCACCCACCTAAGCGTTCCACCTGGTGGGACTTCAGTCATAAGGCAACCAGGAGAGGGATCTCTGCTCTCCTCAACTCCAGGGCCACATACGTGGGCCTTCATTGCTTGCCATCACTAAAACATGRCCTGGCTTTCCAAGCTTTGCCAGTCTGTAGTTAATCCTCTAGTTAGGGGCTTTCCTGCAAAGCTCCAAGACTCTTCTCCCAATGGAAAAATACCAAGGAATGACTGCCACCTTTGACCAAACTCCAAAAGCAGTAGAAAAGAAGCACTAGGCAGCCTAGAGTGCAGCCAGGGCATTTCTGCTCCCAGGTCTTGTGGGGATTCCTTTCTGATCTGTAGTTTCCACCTCTTTCTCTGGACAAGCTGCATGTTCACTCACAACATGTCTCTTCTGTCTTCTGAGTCAACAGAGGTCAGCGTGGATGGTGATCTAAGTGCTCTAATGCTTTTGCTCTTGTGTAGTCTTACAGCCCACATTGCTCAAACAGCTGTCCGTCTTCTATTCTGGGCCTTGCTTCCCCWTAAAAAGATTGTCTTCTATTTTTATTTTTTAGAGCTGTGGAAATGAGATTGTTTCAGCTTTGTAGACACCAGTATGTAGAGTTTATACTTTGGTGTTTTGGCTTCCTTTCCCGTCTGTGCCTCAGCTATAAATTCTCTTAAGATCAAAATTAGCCAGGAAATAAAACAGGGAAAACAAAATACCTATTCACCCACGCAGGCCTCTGCGCAGCTCTTGCTTTAGGACGCTCACCCCAGGCTCCTTTGGCCTCTTGCAGAAAGAATAGCCCTCTCCTCCCCGGAGAGAGATGTCTAAGTCCCCTCCTACCTCACCAGCTGCCTCAACGCAGCTTTTCTTTCCTGCTCAGACAGCACCTGCTCTGGTAGAAAGCAGCAGCCCTTCCTACCRCAGAATGGAGGGACAGCACGTTCTCTCTCATCTCAGACACAGCAAGCTGTAAAGTGGTTGTTTATTAATGCCAGTCAATCCATTAATGCCATTAATTCAATCTTCCTGTCAAGMTTCAGCCTGTTTACGTTCCTGAAAGACTCCCAATGATTCTGTGGTCAYAGTTTCACAGTCAGTTCTGGACCCTTGTTGGTGGCTTCCACGCGCTCCAACCATCTACCATCTTAGTCATGGGTAGCTCTCTGTTTCTCTGGGGCTGTTCTGCAGAACGTTGGGTCCTCAAACAAGGCCCATGACTGAGCTGATGGGTGTGAGTGCTCAATATTCTTCCCACACATTTCCACGTCATGAAGTTGTCAACATGCTACAACATTACAGAGATTTCCATAAATTGGATGTCACTAGATTCGTCCTACCGTGTCAGAAGATTTTTTAAATTTGTTTTGTGAGGGGGAGGGATGGAGCCTCTGTCAGATTTTGGGGGAAACAGTGGCCTTTGAAGCCCTGAGCAGTGGAAGATCTGAGGCTGAAATGCCCTGACATGCTCTTGTACCAAGATCRGGACATCTGGTATGGCATTTTTAAAGCTTTTATTTTCTGATGAATGGCTCCTTCTAGTCACCTCAGACACCTGTGAGAAATGTGGACTCTTCCACTCTTTCACTCTTCCCCAGAATCGGGTTGGTTGTGTTCATCCTTCCTTGCATGACCTTCTTGTTGGTCAAGGGTTGCMTTGCCTCTAGGTCCCTTCTGTCAGAGCAAGCTGAGAAAAAATGCAGCACTAAAAGAAACCAACTCAAGACAGTTGTAGTCCCCTGGCTGGAGGCGTCTTCAGCAACGGCAGGAACCTTCTGTGTTGGCCTGTGGTTAATTGGGCCAATCTCTCTATGCAGGATGCATCTAGACCTTGCTGTTCATGGGAGARTTCCCCTCCTTTAGGAGAAATCTCAGTTCTTCGTGAAATTGCTCTTTATTCTTGATGTCCCTTTTGAGGAAGCTCTTTGGGTCTGTGCCCACTTGTCTGCTTTTGCATCCTGCAGTGGATGTGACCGTTTGGGGGGTTATCCCAGGAGCTTGTGAGCATGCCAGAGGTTCAAGMGTTTAAGGCAGACTTTCTCCTTCAGGCTCTAGGAGTCACGTTACCCGTTTGAGTTGTCTCGTGAACTACTTAAAAGAAGAGATTAATCTTTACATTTGCAGGGTGTTTGCCTGACTCTTTTATCAGGGCAAGGCAAAAACTTAAGATGTTCTGTCTGTGTTTGCATTTGTAGCTTCATTTATTGAGCTTCATTTTCATCCAGCACATGCAGAGCAGCCACCTGGAACCTCTTTGCCCACCTACTTTGCCATCAGAGGCTACTAGGTACARGGCACCAGTCTCTCAGAGATAAGGGAAGGTTGTAGGTATTCGTTGGCTTGTTTCCTAGACAGATATTTCTTGTGCTTGTTCCCAATCCAGCTACTTTCCCTCTACCTTTCTAATCCCATAATCACCTAATCCTGGAAATCTGGAGGCTGCTGGGCCTCGAGAGCGCTCGGGTTTGTTGCTCATGCACAGTGGAGGGAACAGGCGTGTGAAGGTCTCGTACCATCTTCAGCCATGGGAAAGAAACCTTTCAGTCTGCCCCTCGACCAACAGGCCAACTTGAGGCTTAATTTTTTTTCCATGTTTAATAATTTAGTTGCACATCAGAAATCTAGTAATCTGCAAAAGCAAAAAGAAACTGTATATATACAGCTTTTTAGCAGGCAATATGTAGCTGATTATCTTTTTGGTCGTCTTTTGATCACATTACAACTGTACACTGAAATCAATTTTTCTGCAAAATATTTTATGTATGGAAGTCAGTTTATAAAACAAACACAAGTACAAAGCCACAAAATGCTGTCAGTGCTCCAGATATGCCCTAGATATTTTTAATTAGATAGAGAATGCTAATTTGAAATCACACGTGACCATTACAAGTTTCTTGCAACACAAGGGGGGGAACAGGCGGTAATTATTTTCTGTCACCATCTCCTTCTTTCATTTAATTCAACATGTGTTTTACCAGCAAGTTTCTTTGTCTTGTGCACAGGGAAGAAACGTTTTTATTCGGAGCTGCTTGTTACGGCACTCACATGGCCCTCGTGCCTGCCAGTGGGGCAGTAAATGGCATCGCCGAGTATCCATCCCATGGGGCTTGTTCTTTCATCCCTTGCCAGGGGGAAAGCTGTGCGGGTGAATGTTTTGGTGGGGTTTGAGGTTGCTTTTCAGGGCTGTGTCACAACGTGTTTATGTTACGGCAGGCAGGTGGGCTGAAGGGCAGGGTGATTTGGGGCGCTCTCCGGGCGCTCGCAGGGTGATGGTGCAGATAGGCAGCGCCAGTCGGAGCGATGACTATCACCCGCTCGGCGGAGCTGCCGCAAGTCGGGTTTCCAGAACTGGGCACAAAAGCAGATGGTGCTTCTGCTGTAGTAATACCTCTGCCTCTTGTCACTCCTGCCCCTGTGGCTTTATTACTTAACCATGCCAAATGATCATGTGTTTGACCCATGCGGTGCCAAATTGTAAATCAGGAGCTCACGTCATTGCTTTTTTTTCATCTGTGTAAAGAACTGTAATTAGGAAAAAAAAACCCCAACCAACCCTCCTGGATTCAGGTGGCGACTGGATTCCTGTGCTTTCACTTGTGAATAATGATCTGGGGGAAGCCAGGAAAGCAGTGTGGAGTCCGCAGTGTGAAACCAGCCTGGAGCAGGAATTCAGCGCTTTTTAAGCTGCTGGGTGCTCAGGCCCCCCAAATGCAGTACCCAGCCTCGTGAGCACTTGCTGCTAARTGTGAGTGTCTTTGCTGCAGAGAAGGTAAATGTGGCTGCAGCTTTAAAAGCAGTGCACTTTCATAGCAAAATCATTCATTTTGGAGAGTGAGGTGCAATCCTTCAGCCTGAAAGCCACCTCAAGGGAGATATGCTGGTTGGACACGGGAGAGTGAGGAAAGGTTCTGCCTCTTTCCCTGTTTGGGGAAGGGTCTTAGGGGTTTTAGGTGCCCTCCCTTCTGCAGGGACCTCAGAGCATGCAGAGAATCAGCTTGCTGTCCCCAACGGCCACCACGGCAGCAGGAGAAGAGGACAAGGATCACAGTTAAGTGGGTTCTTGGAGCTGCCTGCAAAGTCACGCACCTGTCTGTGAAACCAGCAAAGTAGTTCGAAAATGACATTTTAAAAACTTTATGTGACTTTAGGTTACATTGAAAATTAAGTGGAATCTCCAGTAATGTGCCAAAGGCCCATTCGCACTGGCTTGCAGTTCTCTGTGGGAAAGGCCAAGACTGTAGCTGAGCCAAGGAGTGAGAGGAAGAGTTTTGTCCTAGTTAAGGTTACAGCATCTGATGCCTAGTGTTGAAATAAAGAATTGCAAAAGCCATTTGCATTGGCCCTTAAAATTTATCAGATTTAAACAAGATACTTAACTCTTTGCTTACTGGGCAGACTTAGAAGCAGATAAAAAATAAAAGCTTACAGTGTAGTTCTAAGAGACCTCCTTGAGTGGTTTTAATTTCAGAAGTATTACATAACTAGAGGACTTACAAATGTTAGTATATCTCTTAACAAAGAGATATACTTACAAATGTTAGTATATCTCTTAACAAAGTATTTTTAAAATGGAATTGAACTAGTTCTAAGAAAGGAAGGGTTTTGTTTTAAATGTGTTGTCCATTATTAATGCCATTTGGTCAATTCATCAGTCGTCTTTCGGTGTGTCACTAGGTCAGCTCTGCTTCCTTCTCCTTCACGCAGCTCTCTTTGGAGGGCCGATCCCAAAGGCATTTCTGATTGATCTAATTCGTCAAGCCTTAAATATGTGGGCAGCAAGTGAGTAGTATCCCTGCTGATCCTAGGCTTCAAATTAGGTGTTCCTAGACAGCTGGAGTGGACGGTGTCTCACCCAATTTTAGACTTTAGCAATATAAACATAGACTTTAAAGCAGTTGTCTGAATTCTCTTTTTACTAGCTAGAGAGAAATGAGAGACACGTTTTAGCTGAACGTGGCTCTATAACAGAGGTCAAACAAGATGGTCCTAGGAATGCCCGTTTCTCTCCTTTTGACTCTAGAGGAGTCTGGACAGTTAGCTTAGCTCTAGCTTTCTGCACTGGGGACGTCTCAGCACAAGCAAAGTGAAGCTTCTACTTGTTGKGACCATCTGTGTTGGAGACTACTGCAATGTGAGTAAACTAATACAGCACCTCTCCTGTTTCAGCTTAAAAATAATGAAAAAATGCATTTAAACTGTTCGGTTCTGCTCTGAAGTGTTTCTTCTATGACATTGCCAAAGGTTCAGCTATCAAGAATCACAGAATAGAAGGGCTGAAGCTGGGAGATCTCTGTTCTCTGGAGACCATCTAGTCCAACCCCCTCTCCAGCGGAGACACCCTCGTCCTCTTGACACCCTTCCKTAAGATATTTGAGCACACTGTTAAAATCGCTTAGTCTTCTCCAAGCTCAATAGGCCCAGCTCTCATCCKGTCCTCATAGGAGAGATTTTCCAGTCCCCTCATCATTTTTTAGCCCTACCCTGGACTCTCCCAGTAGCTGCATGTTCCTCCAGCACTGGACACAGCACTGCAGACATGGCCTCATCGAGGCTAAGCAGGGCAAGAYCACCTCCCTCCACCCTCTGGCAACACTCTGGTGATCTCCAGGACACCWTTGGMCTTCTTGGCCACAAGGGCACCTAGCTGGCTTGTGGTCAGCCTTGTTGTCCACCAGGACACCCAGGCCCTCCTCCTCAGAGCTGCTTTCCAGGAGRTCACCTTGATGCGTGAGTTATTCCTCCCTACTTCATGAGGTTCCTCTCTTCCTTTCTTCTTCTTTTTCCTCTCCTCTTCCTCTTCTTCCTTTCTCCTCTCTTCTTCCTTTCTTCTTGCTGAAGTCGAGGGAGACAACATCCAGGTTCTCCCCTCATCCACCCAGCCAGTCAGAAGGCTATCACAGCAGGCTGTCACATTGGCTAAGAATGATTTCTCCTTGGTGAATCCATGCTAAGTATTCCAGATCACCACCTTGGCCTCCATACGCCTGGAGATGACTTGCAGGATGTCCATGTCCCATCACTTTGCGAGAGGGAGGTGAGGCTGGCTGGGCACAGCCGGTGTTGCCCGCGCCGGGCTGTGCAGGTGCCATTCCCTACGCGGTTGGGACGGGCCTTGCAGCAGTTTACACCAAACTGCTGTTTAGGGTTAGCTAAGACTACCGCTGCAAGCCTGGTTATTAGGGTTTTACTATGTTAATTACAAGGATTTAGATTAGTTAGTTCTTTTTATAGTCTGTTTAGACAATGAATATAAAGCATACTAATAACTTTTTTGTGATCTTTCTTTACCTTTCTCTCATGCCATTGCAACGTGGTGCCTCATTTACTCTTTCACTCTCCTTTTTGAGTGCAGGTTTTGACTTGAAATAGGGTTGCCTGGGTTCTGAAACTGGAGTGTAACAACTTACACTAGGTCTATGCGCTGCGTATGTGCTGCTGCTTTATTACCAAGTTGCTTCAGCTTGCTGAGGAAATCAGAAAGTGCAAGCCTAGAATTAAAAGAACTTTTAATGTAATTCTCTGCATAATCAAGCAGGGAAATCCTGTGGGTACGAGCGCTGTGAGTAGTCATGAGCACGCCGGCCAGGTAGAACCTGTACTCATCTTYGGCAAAGAACAGTTTTATTTTGTTTTACCCTGAGCTCTGCCTCAGTCCCAGAGGAGTGATTTCCCTCCAAGTGTTGCTTAAGGACAACTTTGATTGTTTTACTTGCATTCCAGTCAATCCCTTTTTCTTTTTCACTTTCTTACCGTAGAGAAACGATGCATCGGTTCAGAGCAGACCCTCAGCAGCAGAGCTGATTCTTTCCCTGCCCCATCCATTTCTGCATTATTTGAGTAGATATTTTGCCACCCCAAGTATTTGTTTAGTGACAAACACACTTGGAACTCCATCTTTTCCTTTCTATAGTTATTTGCTGTGCTGCAAATAACGTGACTTTTTTTTCTTCAGAGCTATAACATATGTTTTGTTCAATCTAGTAACCACAGATCTGAAAAGAATCACTTTTCATTAAAAACAATTCAGCAGCAGTTATTGAAAATTAACTTTTAATAACACTAATTAAAGTTCTTATTTGTATAAACTTTGAAAGCACGTCATATATTGAATTCAAATATTGAACAGTGCTTCTGGCCAGCTGCTGCTGAAAGAAGTGTAAGATTGGTCTTACTAAGGGGCGTTGGGAAAAATATTATATTGTCGTATGGGGACTTGTGCCAGTCACTGTCCAGCAGCCGTTTGCCAATAACTTTGGTTATATTGCCAATATGGGGTCGCCAATAACTTCCTGCTGTGCAGCTCAGATCATCGATGAATAATTTGATGATCTGTCTCTTTAGGGTTAATTCAAATTATTTTTTAGTAGGAAACTGTGTATTGTTACCAAGAGCGGTTAACAGCAAAAATGTGTGTTTTGAAATGTATTTACTATTCACACCTAGTAAGTGATTTTAGTTCAGTCATTTTAAGAAATGGAAAGAGCACCTACTTGCTGTCATCATCTTTTAATATTCAGTAAAAGTCATTATATTATAAAATACAGAAGATTTTTTTTCTTTATTAAAAGCTCAGATAAATAATTAAGGACATGTTAGCCAATTTGTAGCCAACAACAAATTGGAAAAATCTGTTATGATACCATTGACATGACAGATAAGAGGACTGATAACTAATGTGTTTGAAAAAGCTTTGGTAAGTGTTTACTTTTCATTAAATCTTTTCAAATACACCCTAAATGAAATGAACTCCTGAAAGCCCTATTTTTGAATAAACAAGATAATGCGGTAAATAAGTAGTGTGAAAATTCRTTTGAGGTCAGGATTTTAAGTGTTGGGAATTATGTAGCAAGCCTTTGTTTGTATAAGCCATCAAAACATAAAGATCTGATAAAAGATTTCAATTTTTTCTATGTTAAATCTTCTTACTGACTTTTTGTTACTTTGCAGAACCAGACACGGAAATAGCTTCGTCTTCAAAGCCAGAAGAAAGTTTCTATGCTGACAGTTACAATCCCTTTAAGGACGATGATGCCCCCGAGTACTTGAACCCGTTTGATGAGCCAGATCCTGAGCCCGAAACGTTGGTGACCATGAGAGCTTCTCCCCCGCAGCCTGCCAAAAGGAAGAACGTCAGACCGGTGGATATGAGCAAATACCTCTATGCAGATACCTCCAAAGCTGAAGAGGAAGAGCTAGATGAGTAAGTATGATTCTAGATCTTTCAGCAGTCTTGGAAGCATTAGTGGGATCTCTGGCTTAATCTTGAGGTATTGGGTTCAACGATGGTGATCCTTAATCACCTCCTCGGGACAGAGCGATCTTCAGCTCAGCAGCAGGAAATCCCATACCCCCAAGTCATGATATTCAGCTGTGGAGCCCAAAGTGATGACTTAGGAAACTTCCCTTTGCCTTGTTGATATGAAATAACTCGATAGGGAGCAAGCATCGTTTTGGTATGTCGTGCCCTGCCGTTGCCAATGAGCTCAAAAGGGAAGGTGCAGCAGAGTTGGGGTCTTCCCGTCTTTTTGTCATCATTTCTTCCCGCATAAAATAATAAATTTTGCTGATGAGAGCGAAAGGGCTTTGTAGATGGGTGCAGCATATGTAAAGAAGAGTTTGCGTAGTCTGCTTAGCACATTCTGGGGAGTCTAATAAAACTCCATATAACAAAGATAACACCATATATACTTTCTAAAGCTGTTTCTTTTATCCTAACCACATGTTAAACTTTATTATAAACCAGCCCTGAGTGTCTTGTAAAGGAGCCCAGCGAGGAGTGAGAGCTTTTTGCAATAGCTGTGCAGCTTGGGAGGATTGAAGAACTGCTTGTTTGTGGTTATTAGTCAGCAACCACACCACTCCCGAGACAGTTTATGGTTATTACACATGAGCAATTGTACAGACAAYAACTGTAATTAACTTTTAATTTTAAAGTACTTAATGAGATTTATCACGGYATGACATTTGCATGGCTTTAATATTTAATATTAATGCAGGTGTCGTACCATCCTCTTCATGTTTGCTCTGTTTAGGGCCGTGTTCGAGGAAACTGAAGAATTCCCATGCACTCTCAGAGAAGTGTATAAAGGACCCTGTGGGTTTTTTCCTTTTCAAGTCCTGTGGCCACGGGTTTGGTGATGTTGGTTGTTCTGTGGAACAAACCTGGGAGTTAGGCGGGGATTTCTACGTGAGCTGGATTCCTTGGGGGTCCCTCCGCGCACACAGGCCTGGCTGCCSTCAGGGCATCCATCCCTGGTCGTTCGCTGCAGAAATCCCTTTACCCCTGCAAAGGTGGGGGATAAAAGAGCAGTAAAGGCTGTGCAGAAGAGCAGAAGGAGCAAAAGCAAGTGACAGGTTGTCTATATTTATATTCTCATTTCCACAGAAGCAAATCAGTGCCAGAAGAGCTTGTAGCAATGTCCTAACGGGCAGCCTGTTTTTCTCCTGTGCGTGGGCCTATAGATTTCACTAACCCTTGGTTACAACAGCCTCCTTTTCATTGTCAGGATCCTACTTGTTATATTCTTTTTACAAGAGCAAAAATTAAACTCCCTGTAGATGGATTTTCCTTAAACATACAGCTGGTCCATGAGTTCATTTATGATGGCCTCATCCCGTGGAAAGATGGAAGGATGAGGTGTCAAACAGCACTGCCAGGTAGTTTTGTGCATCTCTTTCTTTACACCCTGGCTCCTGAACGGCTGCTCCTCCCGAGTCCTTGCAGGTTACAGGAGTGTCAGGTCACTGAAAAAGACACGGAGACTATTTGTTAAATATATTTGGCGCAAATGTGGCAGTCTTTGAAAACCTATGCTGCTATTCTGGAGGGAAAAAAATGTGGTAGCACAGCTCTGTTTAGGATTAACTGAGTAAGTGCTGTTATTCTTTGCCTCATGGCAATAATTTCTGATTCTGCAGTGGGAAGTTTCTGCCCTCTGCGGTACCATGAGCACAAAGGGGAGGGTTTTCAGTGGCAGTGCCAGCTGGATGGGGTGTGTGAGAGCCCGAAATCAGGAGGGTTCATGTCCAGATGCATTTTGTTTCTTGGCTAATGTGCATATTGATGCTTTTATTGGCTACCTAAGTGGCTAATCTTTTCCCAAATCCTATTAAAGCCCAGGCTTTAGTGTCAATTTGKGGCAGCGAGTTCCACAAGCAAACAAGGTATTATATGAAATGTGTTTCCTTTTATTGATTGTAAGTTAACTTTCAGATTTATTACACAGGCCTTTCCGCTGGCTTATAAACCCAACAATTAGTAGTATCTGATTTAGCTACCACAAACCATTTGTCGTTTTATGTCTCCCCAGCATATTCACCATTACTTGCTGCTTTTCTGAGTTAAATGGCAGTAACTTTCTCAATCTCTCTTCATACAGCAGTCTCTCCATGTCTGTAATCATTTTCATCGCACGTCTCTGGATCCTCTTATTTCTTCTGCTGTATCTTTATTTTAAGATGTGCTGACTTGGCCTGAGCAGTGCACTCMAGACAAAGTTGAGCAGCTGAATCCTATCATGGCACTAAACAGCTTCCACCTTCCTTTCAACCTCTCTCCTAACATCATCTCTTTCGGTTTGGGTTCGTGTGATTTGCTTTGGGTTTTCCATCCTTTTTGACTGCTGCTGGGCCAGGGCTTTCCCCGGGAGCGGCTGGAACCTGCTAGATGGGAGGCCAGGAGGCTCCCGAAGGACACTGGCCGTCACTCAGGAAATACGATGTGTCTTAACCCTGCAACTTAACCATTTTCTTGGAGATGCTTAATGCGCCGCTTGGCACTTCCCTGCTCTCCTTTGGGTGGAAGGTGAGGCTGTGTCCCGGGAGCGTGGACACGTCACTGAGAGCCTGTGGGACTCCGCTGGGTTCCCTTTGGGAAGGGGATAATTCCCACCGGGCCCTCCGCGTTTGCACAAAGTGCCCCGAGATCTGAACTCTGCCTCCAGTTTTGTAACCAACTCTTTGTAATCTTGGAAAAGATACTTATCCTCCCCGTGCCGCTGCGGAGGATTTACCTTAGGTAATTGGCTTAATTGAAACATGTTTCAGTAGTGGTTGGGAAGATAACCTGCGATTTCACAACATGCATAAGCAAGGCGTAATCACAGGCCTAGGCATAAAAAGCCATTGCATGGTGGAGATGAACTTAGATGTTCCATTACACAGATTCGCCTGTAAAACTGCCGTCTCAGAACATATTTCCTCTGGCTAAATTCTCATATCTGGGGAGAGATAAGGAACACATTTTCCTTTTATTAGTTTGGGCATTGAAATGTTAGAAGGAAATTCGGCTTGTGCCTTTTCATTTTTATTTATACACGAAAACCGAAATGTTAGGTAACTATTAATAATGTTAAATCGGGGTGGTAGGTGGTGACTAATAAAGAACACTTTGCTCTGCTAATTGGAGTTTAATTAAGTGCAAATCGCAGATTCACAGCGATTTTAAGTACAATGCTTTCGACCTTAGTGTTTTATTTGGTAATGGCCTGTTCTTCGAGCACACTGACAGCTTTGCTTTCCCTCCTCAATAAAATGATTTTGTTTTCCAGCTACGCAGTAATGTGGATCCAAAGCATTTTTGGATGGGTCAGAATAAAAGTTGCTTTTAGATATTACTTGGCTCTGCATTGTCTTATCTGATGAACCATTGCATGGGTTAGAACGATGGCTGGAAAGACTGTCTAGTTGCTATTGATTTTAAGTTGGCTGTTATAAAACAAGCCGCAGGCCACCACAAGTTGCTGACTTGTTAATACCTTTATTATTATTTTTCATAATAATAGTGGTTTTTGTGGTGGACGGTCTGTTATCTTTTTACACAAATCCGGTTGAATACCATCATTGAAGCCAAAAGCAGATGAGCAAAGTTCAGGAAAGAGGACATTAATATATTTCAGCTATATCAGGCTTTTTTTTTCCTACCAGATTTCTGGGTTTTTCTGCTTATGTAGCTGCCACCACCAACTTCAGCATCTGGACTGAGAGTCCGAGGAGCAGAGGGGGCTTTTGCCAGCATCCAACTGAATTTTTCAGCAATCTCCTCTCAATATTCGGATTTCTGAGGAGTTTGTAAGACCAACTGAAAAACCTAAAAAGCAGAAGGTGAAAACATCATGTTTATTGTGCCCATGCTACAATCAAAACACGAGCCTAGCTCAACAGTGGAGCCTTCTTGAGGAGGAAAGCCCATAACCTGTCCCCCATAGCACTTTCTTCTGAGAATGAGCACTCCACATGCAGCAGAGAGCAGAAATATCTCAAATATGGTGCTTTTTTTGTTTTTTTTTCTTCTCTATAATATCAGTGGCAGATTGTCTTCAGTCTGGAGGTTTTGTGGCAGGTTTTCTGTGGTTCAGGAGGCTTTGCCGTTCAGCAGCGGACTTGGTTTCTGCAGCGTCACATATTAATAGCCATTAATTAATAGTGGTGAATAGAGGACAGGGGCAAACTGCATTGAAATAAATTCTAAAATCAGTCCATGAGGCTGAAAGAAATTTTAATACTCAGAGTGTACAAATCTGAGGAAAATTGTCAGTGCTGTGTGAAGCGAAACTGGAGGAATCGCCGGTCTTTTCGTTTAGGCCCAAATTTTACMATTTTAGCCATTTAAAATCAATGTATTCTAGGTTGCCCCTTGTACCCTGACAGGATATGTGTAAAGAGGCTCTTGGCCGTGTTSTACACACTAAAATGCAGAACTGAATTCACGGCACCAAGGGCATCTGTTCTGCTTTAGCTACACGTTACAGAGTTACCTGCAGAGCAGTCGTTGGGAGCTGCAGTKATTTCATTGCCTGAATATAGTTCAGCAGATAAATATCATGTAGGAAAAGCACGGAGCAGAAAGGGATGAATTAAACTATCAGGTAAGCAACAGTCCTCTTCAGGATAGGCTGGCAAACACGAAAGAATAAGCTCATAAATAAATAATTTTGATACAAAGAATATCCTTTGGCAGGATATAAAWTATCTGACTATTTTAAGGGCATCATATAAAGCATTATGCTACCCAGAGAGCATCAACTGGTGGCATCAAACTAACAGATAACGTTTGGAGAAGATAAGAAAATATGCATTTAGGGTGGAGCAATTAGAGAGTAGGAATGTGAGTGCCAAGTTGAGAATGCAAAGTTGTTGGAGTGCATCCATTTTAGAAGATGTTTACTAGGCTTCTTAAAAGCGGTTAAGTAATAAAAAGTGCTTTCAAACAAGACGGATTACAGCAACCGGTACCTGTAAAGAGTTGGGTTTTTTTTTTCTTAGCACTGTTCTCTTATCCAAGGGGTGTTTTGAAATGATCATTTGCTGCAGAGATTAAAATATCCTAGACATGAATTTTCAGGCCTACTGTGGCCAGAGTTTTCAAACTTAAATCTTGGAGTGAGGCTTCTAAAACCGTGCTTAAGCATGCACTAAAAGTGGCCTCATTCTCAGCATTTGCTTATGCCACAGCCAGCAACTTCACTCATATCTCAGTTCACATTTATAGCATTTTAAAAAATTCTAAATAAAATTTCTAAAAATTCCATCCTAATGTCCTTTTCATTTTGGTAGGTCATTTATCAAGCATGAAAAAGTTGCCTTTCAAAGCATGTAAAAGCAAAGTATTTCCTCATGTGGTAATAAATGCATCTTTGTCATCAGATCCTCTGAACATTATTTTCGTTTTGATTTCCAAGTTTGAACTCTTTGATAGCAAAGAAATGTTTCCCTTCTTTTAATTAGATCAAATCCATTTTATGAACCAAAACCAAGCCCCGCTTTAATTAAAGTTGCTCTGCTGCAAGAACCAGAGAAGAAGATGAAAAGAAAGGCTCCCGAACCACCAAACCTCTTGCCAAAGACAGAGCCAGGAGCGAGTGAGAACATTTCAGCTATTCCAGCGACGAAGGAGCTTTCTTCTTCTCCCAAGGTAGGTCTTTTGTACCTTTTTTTTTTTTTGTCTTTATTTTTAAAGATACCATTCTGGCTATTGCAGACATCCTGTTTATTTCTGCAGGCCTTCTTGAAAGCTTTGCTGGTGCCCAGTAAGGTGGTGGCTCATTTCTGTTCACTTACTGGTTCATAGGGAGAGAGCAGCAGTAGGAGCATGTGTGTTTTTTAAGGATTTAATGAAAACAGTATCAACAACTCCAGTTTCAAAGGAAAGAGTCTTCTAGTGACAAATGTTACAGGACAGCTGGATATACGACTGAGAAGGAAGAAAATCGTGTTGAACAATCCTTTGCCTTGATGTATTGTAATGTCACTAAGCTGTCGAAGTGCCTATCTCCCCATTTCTGTCATAAATCTGGTTTTTAAGAGCTTAGTACATGACACTATTTATTTGTATTAGGATTTATATTTGTCCAGTTCCATAGTTATATGTAAGTACTTTTTTAAAAAGTCATAGCTTTAAATCAGATTAATGTTTTTTTTAGGGTTGTCCAGACTGAGCAGACATATATACGTACATACTTCTGTTTCTCAAACTGAAAGTTTGGCTTAAGTCTTTTTGAAGAGGCAATGTGCAGAGCGGGTATTTCGAGATGCAACAGCTCGTTCTGTGAGTGTGAATTGCAGTTCCAGCGTTGCCACCGTTAGCAGCCCTTGTGCATCTTTACACAACTGAGCATTTAGCAGCGTGTGTAAAAGAGACCTTTTCTAAAAAACAAATCTGCTCTCTCCTCGCAGCGTGTTTTTAAGGATTGGAAGTTGAGGATAGAGCGCTGCCTTTCCAAGCACAACTTGTGTGTTTTATCATCTGATCTGCCTTGAGTTGGTGCTGCCCTACAGTAATTTAAGAATTGAATGAAACTGCTCGTCATGCTTGTTTTGTTGCTCAGTTATGGAGCAGCCCTGTCCCCATCCCTCCCAGCCCTGACCTTATTGACACCCTCACACCCAGCGTGAGGAGGAGTCTGAGGACGGAAATCGAATCCGTGTCTCCCCACAGCAAAGCAGAACAACACTGAGAAGTCCACAGGCACAATTCACAGGTTATTCCTAATGTGCAAAACCACAGCTAGCGAAATAGGAAATCAGTTTCATAACATGCTGAGGTGGGATTGGATCCCGTTTGCCRGACTTTCTGTTTGAAAAATCTTGCCTATACTTGATTTCTGAGAGAAATCAAGGTCAAAGCAAAGTGACCAAGGCAAAGAAAACTTCTGGTATTACCAGGCAGAGCAAAGACATCCGTATAAGAGCTTTGGGAGAGATCTTATCCRCTCATTTGATGGAGGTTGTGCCCTCTTCGCTTGTTGTGTGACAGTTTATTTTACGGGTCTGAGGAAATACCTCTCTGCTTTATTGCATGCCTTTGCAGCACTGCAATAAGGTTTGGCCTACCCCAGACTAGGTCCTAGGTTGTGTGCAAGCTGGAATTGGGTTAAAAAAGGTGATCCAACTCGCTGTGAAGAGTGTGTAGCTTGGAACAGGGGCAGCTAGGTCCTACCCTTAAGCCAAGCTGGAGTTTCCTGCTCCCTTGGTGCGTCGCTGCCCCAGAATCTCAGGCTTTTGGAGCATGCGAGACCATTAAGGTTGCAAGGCAGATCCTGCGTCCTGGTTTATTACATTACAGCTCAAAGTGGAAGGTTTAGCTGGCGGGGTGTATTAAAACGCCRTGCATTTACTATTCTGAAAGCAACTGCGTTTGAACTGTTTTGTTCTAAGCTGATCTAATAACTTYGGTTCAAAAGCACTTTCCCTGGAATGATTCCCGAAAGAAAACCACTGCCTTTTAAAAAGAAAGGAAAATTAAACGATTTCTCTTACACAGTAATTCAGGATAGTGCTGAGATAGGGCCTGGGCTGTTGGCAGGGCTCGTTTGGTTGTTACTCAATAGCAGTGACAATGTTTAGCAACTCTGAAAAACCTCCCGTCAAATGGTATGGGCGCTATGCAAATATTACCTTAGCACACGCCCTTCTGTGGGGGCAAGCGTCCCGCGAGGGTAAACTTAGGTAAACTGAGGTTAAGTAACTAAGCTAAGTGATTCGTCCAGCTCTGTTGGGCGCAGAAGGCCTTGGAGAGAGCTATGGGCAGAACCCAAGTGTCCTGGCACGTTCCAGGCCTCCTCGGGGATCCTGTCATAGCAACTGGTTGCAGAACTGGTTTGCTCTCCAAAGACGTGGCCTTGCTCGGAGCCTCCTTACCAGTCCGTAACAAAATTGAGATGTGAGAGAAGAATGCTAGAGAAGCTGCCTACTTTAGACTGGTAGAGGCCATGAGGACCAGCACAAATTTAGGGTCTTGTCCCTTTCCTATTAATTATGCACAGGGGACACCTCTGCTTCTCCAGCTGCTTTAAGATCGTCCCACCAGTTGGCTTCTCTTTGCTGTTTCCACACACCCTCTCTACACACTGCTCACCTGACCCATTTCAACTGTCTACCTTGCACAGCTTCCCTGAGTGATCACTTAACTAGAGCAGCCAACTCTTTTTAGGCCTCCTTAATAACCCCTCATTGAAGAGGCCCTTCTCATGGCCTGGTGATCCCCCTGTAATCCTTCTTGGTGAGAAGGGAGCTGTTACCTGTCGGAGATGAGGCAGCGTCAAGCTCTCTGTAAAGATCTAGCTTGACATTTGCCATATCTGAATTTGGAGGAAGTTTGGCCTACAAATATTATTACATACACATATTTCCTAAAAGAATACCTTATTTTTGCATGTCTTCCCTTGATGACTTCTGAAAACAAATCTGAGTCATCAGAGAAAGCCTAAAAATTCAAATTATCACCCGGTTAATCATCTTAAATGGCCTTGAAGACTATGAGTACCGTCTATATTTAGACAAGTGTGAAAGCCAAAYGGTGGAGCTGTAATTAAGCTCTGTGGTCATCTCTGTGCCAGCCTGAAGTGTTGTTGGGCTTGTAACCATCATGTATATCCGGCTGTTCTCAATACGGTTGGATTAGAAGGTTCCTTCTTTCACAGAGGTGATAGAGAGTTACAGTTTCTCCAGCTGGCACTTTGGGGTAAAGTTGAACAAGTTTGGGGTTGAAGAGGTGCACTTATTGGTGGTTTCCCTTTGTCAGAGCAGTGCAGAGTGTGCAGGTTTGTGTCCATCCTGTCTGAAAACTGTGCGTACCGGTCAATGGGAAAATTTGGCCACAGTATCTCTCTCATTCCTGGGTTTTGTTGAGTTTTATGGAAACAAGTTCCAGGTACCGCTCTAGGAATCGGCAACTGGGTCTTTCTACAACTTGTCTGCGTGTATTTCTGCAAAATCATGGCTTTTATTGCCTCTGTTAGAACGAGGGAGGAGGAATGCTGCTCTATTTATGTGGGAGGTGGTGAATTATTTACTAGGCCGCAGGAGGAAACACAATCACCCTGATGATGTTTTGAAGTGTTAACAGAAAAGAGCACCTCCACTGGCTTGCTGTTACTCATTCTKTCTTTGGAAGGATAACATAGGCCTTTTCCTTGGGGAAACCATTAGTGAGAAAGGCTTTTCCTGTTCTGTGGTAATTTCGGCTTGTTGCCTGATTGCAGCCAAGGGTTGCAGCTGGATCCTGTCGAATGTGAAGTCTTCAGGTTTCTGGATACCGCTGTTGTCTTTAGGCTACTGAAAGTCAGTAAATATGCAACGTGTGGCGGATCCAGATTGTTCTCACATGTCCTTTCTTCAGTCTTCAGGATGTGGAAACCTGTGGTCATTGGTGCGAGGCGCATGGAGGCAGTGCAACCATCACACTGGTTGCAAGCTTGGACTTGGTGACTCACAGAGAACTCGTTCTCAGGTTCCTATTGAGTTCTCAGTAAATAAGAAGCCTGTACTCTAATTTTCCTGATAGCTGTGGTGGTAAGCGATCTTGTAAAAAAAAAAGAAAAAAGAAAAAATGCAAAATTGCCCTCAGACCACTCTAATAGCCCTGGGTCTGTGTAGCTGGTTTCTGAGGTTCCACTCAGTTGGTGAACGTGTGTAGTGCCAGGACAGGGTGATAAGGAGGCTTAAGTGTGTCMTATTGACAGACCCTACGCTAGTGTCACTGTTGTGAAAGTCATGGTGCTGTTGGCAGTCTTGCAAACAGACTCTGGGGGTTGTGGCCAAGAACTTCTGATGGCCCCTTATGCTGTCAGGAAGGGAGAAAATGCAGTCACATAATAACCCCAAGCCAATAATAACATTTATGACTGTCAGGGTTATTGTCTGAGGTGTCTCTTTCTTGTAGAAGCTAATACAAATGTTATGCATGCTCTGGGATAGTCGACGCCCTCATGCCAGGCAAGCTCTCAGGTTTAAGCTCTGCTAAAACATGTAGGAGAAGTGATGTGCTGTAATTAGAAATACATAATATTTTTTGCTGCATCGTGTGCAGCAACACATCTCCATCAGGTGTCCTTTGTAATTCACTGTGTATCTGCAGTGATTCAGGCTTTTTCAGAAAGCGATTTCCGTCTCAGAGGCAGTTTACCCTTATCCAGTTTATCCAGAATTGCTTCCATATGAAAGAGGAGGAATTCTCAAACACTTTTCAAGCGGAGAGGAAGAAACGTGGAGTTCAAGGCAGAGTATAAAATGTGAAACTCTTAGGTGAGTTTAATGGCAGAGGAGTGAAGCAACAACCTGCCTAGTGCCAGGTGCTACTCTCCAAGATTTCATAGATGCCACAGCCTCAAGTTGCTCACTTTTCTATTCGTGTCTACTTCAGCTTTATGAACCTTGTGTGATGCAGCGATAGGAAGGGCTCGTTTTGAAACCCAGGTGGGCAAATCAATACGAGGTGCAGTAATGCTGCCAAGCGGAGGAATTACATTAAACTGTGAACAGTAGATGAAGAAGATCACTTATCGTCTCTCAGTATCAAAAATACCTCAATGTCAGAACTCCCTGGCTTTCTGGAACATAGTCTTTAATGATTTTGCTTCTTTCAGCTTCACATTAGCTGCTGACGGATTGTACAGCTCATTTGCATGAGAACAT